GGGAGGACTAGGAACAAGAGTTATGGGTGCATTTGACCTTATTTTGGCAGCTATTTCTCAAGAAATCAGATCTGCTGCAGGTTGTGCTGATGCAGAAAGCCAGTCTGCCAAAATCTGCCTCCCAAGGTCGGTGGGGCTGTGTACATCCCAGGAGGGAGGCTGACAAAAGAGCTTCCCTGGGTGCTCCGTGAGTTTGCTTCGGCACTCCTTGTCCCCACAAGGACTCCTCACCCTTGGGTGTGATGCAGAGTTTGGCTTGCAGAAAGGCAGCCAAAACCCTCCTTAAACACAGACCCCACAGCTTGGCCAGAGCCTCACCTGAGTCTGGGGCTTCCTCCATTACCTAATCCCAGTCCCCCTGAGAGGATACCATCCCGCTTTGGGCCCTGGAGACACCAGGACTGTTTCCACCCTTGCTCCAGCAGCTCTCCCATCTCAGCAAAGAGGGCTGTGAGTGTTCAGAGGGGCTCAGGAGTTTTGCAGACCCTCTGCTCATATGCACCTAAGGCTCTTTGCAGGGGACACGGGACACCCACACAGAGGAGTGCCCAGTCTGCAACAAGCATGTCCACACAGATTTTCCATGCAGGGCCATACTTGGGCTGCTCACACAAGAGACCTAGTTCCTGCTCTCCCTGCTGCCAGAAATATCCCAGCTGCCTGCAGCAGAGTGCAGGTGAGGAGAGCTCCAGGCTGGCAGGCAGAGCGTGGTGAGGACGTTTGTGGTGGTTGATGGACCTTCCTGGGGCAGCCTGGTACACTCTGAGGCTGCTTCACCACCCACGTGGCCACTGTGTCAGCACTGTGGCAAGAGAATGATTGGTTTCCTGTGCACTACTCTCTACCCAGGGAATGATGGATGGGGCACCTCAGTGCTTTTAGTTCATGGGTATCCTTTTCCTCTGAAGGCCAGGCTGGATGAGGATTGGAGCAACCTGGTCTAGTGGAAGGTGTCCCTGCTTATAGCAGGGGGGTGGAATGAGATGGGCTCTAAGGTCCTTTCCAACCCAAACCACTCCGTGATTCTCTCCTGCTGCACTCAGGATGGAGATGTTCAGGACCTCTGAGCATAGGAACAGGAGAGAGGAGGCTGAGAAGCACAAGACGCTGCAGCCATGTCCGCGCGGGGCCGGTGCGCCAAGGTGCTTCCCTCTGAACTGAACAAGGTGTGCCCTGAGAGAGGAGATGACCCTGCCACACACCCCAGGGAGATGAGTGACTTCGAGGTGGTCCCCAACCTGCAGCAGAGCAGTAGCAGCGTCTCGAGGAGCAGGCGGAAGGCACATTTCCCCACCGGTAGCAATGAAAAGGCAAGTTTGGGAAGTTCTGGAAGCAGGGGAGGGGGTGTTAATGAGTGGCTCATTAACAGCGTTAATAACAGATCAGTTTGGTTTTAGGCATGGACAGAAAACCCCCAAACACCTGAGGTACATATCCAGCACCCACATCCCTTTCCCTTGAAGTTCACCTGGCTTTGTCCTCACAGATAGAGATGGAGCTTTCATCCTTCACATCCAAAGAAGCACCCAGAGGTGCTCCCATCACCAGGGTGTCTGGCCCCTGGCATAACTTCTGGCCCTTTCCAGGAACCCTGACCCCTTGCTGTTTTTCCGGCTCCCCCAGGAAAATCTCATCTCCTGGATTCCTGAAAACATCCGGAAGAAGGAGTGCACCTACTTTGTTGAAAGCTCTCAGACATCAGATTCTGGGTAAGTCATTCAGTCCCTCCTTCCCCTCCCCTACCATGAGAGCAGAAGAGGGGGTTGGTGACATAGCTACAGCACCAGAAAATCCCACCTTTCTGCCACAGGGATTCACAAATCCCTTTTGAACTGTTTTTTCACCCTGCTGTGTGTCAGCACATGGCTGAGATCCCATGTCCCAGTGAGGAACTTTTCCAATGCTTTTGCAGGCAGTCATTTCCATCCTTAGTATTTATCTCCTAAACCTCTACAGGTAGAAATAACAATATTTTTTTGCTGAATTCCCATCAAACAATGCCTCTGTTTCTGCACAAGTCCTGAGCTGGAGGAGGTGCTGTATGGGAGATGTGGAGCCTTTGGTGTTCCTAAGGAGAATGCCAGCACCTCCTGCCTGGGCTGAAGTTGGGCTTTGCCTTTTGGGTTTTGGCTGTTTTCAGCAGAGCTGGTGGTGTGTGTTGCAGGAGGATCGTGTGTGAGTGCGGCTACCTCAGGGAACAGCACTTGGATGATGCTGCCAAGCCTCCCATCTTCCTGGGGAAGGAATGGGACCCCAGCAGGCACATCCAGGAGATGCCAACGGATGCCTTTGGTGATATTCGCTTCACGGGCCTGGGGCAGAAGACAGGGAAGGTGACCTGGTTTTCCTGTCTGTGGTGCAAGGGGTGACAGTGTTTGAGTCTCGTCAAGGTGGATGGAATGGGATTATTTCCCTCCTGAACGAGAGAACGTTAGGAAAGGCTGGAAATGCCCCAAAGGCAACACTGACCCAAGCAGAGGAGGAGGTGGAACAGGATCTCACCTCTCTCAGTTCCTTTCTGAAACCACAAGGCTGATCTTCATGCTGTGAGGCTCATGATTCAAGGAGCAGCTGTTCCCATTCCTCAACCTTAGGTTCCTCTTGGGAATGTTTGTTCCCAGGGAAGTAAAAGGGAACATGGTCATGGACAAAGATCTGGAGGAGCAGCAGCAAGTCTCTGTTGTGAAATGGTGTTGGGAAGGCCCTGGTTCTTTGCTGGGACAGGAGGAATTGTGGTGGAGGTTCCCTGTTAGTCTGATCCTGTTGTTTATACCCAAAATGCATGTATGATTCCTCTTCCTTGCAGTATGTGCGTGTCTCCTCGGACACCCCTCCACGGGTCATCTACCACCTCATGACACAGCACTGGGGCCTCGACGCACCCAACCTGCTCATCTCAGTCACTGGGGGAGCTAAAAACTTCATCATGAAGCCAAGGCTGAAGAACATCTTCCGTCAAGGACTCGTCAAAGTGGCCCAGACCACAGGTAAGACAGCAGAGAATCATAAAATCACAGAATCATAGAATAGTTTGGGTTGGAAGGACCTTTGAAGGTCATCTGGATACAGAGGGTCTCCCTGTGATTGCAGCAGGAGGCATCTGTCATATTGCCATGTCAGGTTCAGTGAACTGGGCTGTTCTGGAGATGCCAAGATGGCCCAGGAGGCCCAGAGGTTCCTGCCTAGACCACCACCACTGGGGATGGGCTGTTCCTGCTCAGTTGCTGCAGACAGGCTCAAAGGGATGTGCTGAAGAAGGCATCTCCTGGATAGATGTAGTGGGCAGGGTAGACAACATCTGGGTCAAAGAGCATCTCTGAGGACTTGCAGCCATATGGGGGATGCTAGGAGATTGCTGTGAGCAGAGCCTCTTCCTTCCCAAGCCCCTCTGTGACCCCCAGGAGCCTGGATCATCACAGGGGGATCCCATGCTGGTGTGATGAAACAGGTGGGAGAGGCAGTGCGAGACTTCATCATGAGCTGCAGCCACAAGGAGGGTGAGATTGTCACCATTGGCATAGCCACCTGGGGGACCGTGTACAACCGGGAGAGCCTCGTCTGCCCCATGGTGAGCCAGGCAGAGCTGGAGAGGGACTGCTTTGCCTATGCCTGGGCTGCTGGGGAAGTTCTGACAAGGACTGTGGTGGGAACAGCTGATTCTAGATGTCGCTGTGGCTGGCAGCCCCAGTAAAACCCAACTGCACCAGGAGTGGTCATAGAATTTTAGAATGGTTTGGGTGGGAAGGGACCTTAAGGATCCTCTTGTTCCACCCCACTGCCATGGGTAGGGACATCTTCCACTAGACCAGGTTGCTTCAGGCCCCATCCAGTCTGATCTTAACCACTTCCAGGGATGATCCCAGGCTGGTATTTGCTGAGAAGCCCCTCCACCCTAAACAGTGTCTTACATAGGTTCTGCACTTCTGGAAGGACTCGTGGGTGTGAGAGCAGGTGGAGCTGGTGCAAGGCTGACATGAGCACTGTGGGGGGACAGGGATTGTCCCTGTGTGCTGGCCCATTCCTGCCCCACATGCTGGTTGTTATGGGTATCTGGTGCTCCTCTGCCAGGCTTCTCCCAGAGTCTCTCCTCCTGCACCTTACAGGGTGGCTTCCCTGCTGAGTACGTGCTGGATGAGGAGAATCAAGGCAGCCTGTCATGCCTGGACAGCAATCACTCCCACTTCATCCTGGTGGACGATGGGACACACGGGAGGTATGGGGTGGAAATCCCCCTGAGGACCAGGCTGGAGAAGTTCATTTCAGAGCAGACCAAAGTGAAAGGAGGTAACAGCAACACACAGCCTGGCCTAAGGCAGGGATGGGCCATCCCCTGGTAAGGGTGTCTTTCCTCAGCTCCGGTGAGAGGCTGTGGCTTCCCTGGAGGATCCAGGCAAGGGCTCTGAGAGGGCTGACATGATAAATGTGGAACCCGAATCCTCAGTGACACAGATCAAAGAGCCTTTCTCTGCCAGTTGCTTGACTTATGGGGTCACCAAAGGGGTCCCCAAACCTTGTGATGCTGAGCTGATCAGGGAGAATTGGTTCTCCCAGAGGACCAGGCTTATAAGGGGCCTCCAAGGTGGATCTTGTCATTGTGCAAAGGTTTTAACGCATGCACACACATGCTCTAGCAGCACAAATCATGGGATCACAGAATATCCTGAATTGGAAGGGGTCCATAAAGATCATCGAGTCCAACTCCTGGCCCTGCACAGGACAGCCCCAAAAATCACACCACGTGTCTGATCTGCCATGCCAGACAATCACCTGGCATGATTTTTCTCCCCCTCTCCTGAAGCCTGACATGTCAGGGACAGTGCCCCCACATTGCCTTTCCCACCCCACCACTCAGAGGGGACCACATGGCAGGGATCTGCCCTATAGGGAGGTGACCCTGGATTTTGCTTCCCTGTAGGTGTTGCCATCAAGATCCCCATTGTGTGTGTGGTGCTGGAAGGAGGCCCTGGGACTCTCGATGTAAGCAGCTGCTCCCACTGGGCTGAGGAGAGGGCGGTGGCAGGGGCAGCTCCTTCCTGGGGTGCTGCTCTTGGGAGCAGTGGTGGAGTCCAAGGCTCAGAGAGTGTCTGCTGGCCTCAGGATGGGATTAAGACCAGCTCCCTGCTCTGTTGCAGACCATCTACAATGCCATCACCAATGGGACCCCCTGTGTGATTGTGGAAGGGTCTGGGCGCGTGGCCGATGTCATCGCACAGGTGGCCAACCTGCCTGTGGCCAAGATAACCATTGCCTTGATCCAGAAGAAGCTGAGTGTGCTCTTCCATGACACCTACGAGCTCTTCACTAAGAGCAAGCTAGTGGAGTGGACCAAAAAGGTGAGTCCCTTGCAGGCTCCTCTGATTTGTGGACATCAAAGGGGTCCCCAGGGGTCCTGGCCCTTGAGCAGCAAAGCTCCTAGCAGGAAGTTTAAGGCTCATGTACCCCCAGCCCTCCTTATCATTTTCCTGGTGGGCACTCCAAGGGCTTGAGCTCTGCCCCTCCACACCTGCTCCCTTTGGGCAGAGAGGGACTGTTTCAGATCAAACCCGCTAGACTGGGGAACACAGCACAGAAGTTCTGCAGGCAACCTGAGGGGAGCAATGAACTGCCCCACACAGGGCAGGGGGCTGTAGGAACAAGCAGGGAGGAGATGCTGCTGATGATTGCTTGCTCACAACTCTCTTTGTAGATCCAAGACATAGTGCGGTGCCGGCAGCTCCTGACCATCTTCAGAGAGGGCAAATATGGCCAGCAGGATGTGGATGTGGCCATCCTCCAGGCCCTCTTCAAAGGTATGGGGCTGCTTGGGAGGATAGGGTGGGATGAATGGAATGGGGGTCACAAGTCACCTTCTGCAGCTGCTTGACTTAGGTGGTCACCAAAGGGGTCCCCAAACCTTGTGATGCTGAGCTGGTCAGGGAGAGATGTTTATCCCAAAGGGCCAGGTTTCCCAGGGGATGTCTTCTCACCACATAGATGATCCTCTGTTCTAACACATGCACTTTGCATGCAGCATCTCGAAACCAGGACCACTTCGGTCGTGAGAACTGGGACTACCAGTTGAAGTTAGCTGTGGCCTGGAACAGGGTGGACATTGCCCGCAGCGAGATCTTCACAGATGACCATGACTGGAAGGTAAGGCTGTAGCTGTGCTGCTTGCCTGGTCAGGCTTACAGGCTTACCCTACCCCTCCACCAGGAGCCAAGGGAGCAGGGGGCTCTGTTGCCAGAGGAGATGACTTTCTAACCCACTGGTGTGTCTCTGGGGGATGTCCCACAAGTCCTAGTACTTTGCTGCTGCTCTTTCACATCCAGAAACTCCTTATGTGCTCAGGGATAAGACCTCTAAGTGAGGAGCGTGGTGAGGTCCTGCTCTGAGGCCATGGAGCCGCTCACCTCTGCCTCCGGCCTGCCAGCCCACAGATCTCCACCCTGTGATGGCAGCTGCCCTGATTTCCAACAAGCCAGAATTTGTGAAGCTGTTCCTGGAGCAGGGAGTGCATCTCAAGGAGTTTGTCACCTGGGACACTCTGGTTTACCTTTACGACAACCTGGTACCATCCTGCCTGTTCCACAGCAAGCTGCAGAAGGTGCTGCTGGAGGAAAGAGAGCACACAGCTGGCTCCAAAATGCCAAGGCTCCAACTGCACCACGTGTCCCAGGTGCTGCGGGAGCTGCTGGGCTGCTCCACACAGCCTCTGTACCCCAAGCCCAAGCACACGGAGCGGCCCCGGCTCTCCATCCCTGTGCCGCACATCAAGCTGAACGTACGCATCTCCAGGTTATGTGGTGGCAGGGCTGCAGGAGGGAGGGGACTGCTGGCTCAGGGAGCTGTCCTGGAGGTTGCAGCTGGATCTCTGTCCTTCTGCCTGCAGAATAATCCTACTAAATGCCCCTGAAAACCCTACCCAAGTCATCTGTCCCACATTCCAAGTGCAACTCCCACTCTCCTACCACCATGTGGCTGCATGACAGTGGTGGGCAGGACCCAGTGGAGTGGGTGCAGAGCTCCACATGAAAAAATGACATTTCCAGGATGAGTCCAGTATTGGCCATCCTGCTGTCCAGGCAAAGTGCCTTCTATGGGTGGTGGAAGCAGCACTCAGGGTTTGGGTGGCTCTGTGCTGAGGGAACAGCTCTGACCATGGTGCACCTTGCAGGTCCATGGGTCGAGTCTCCGGTCCCTCTACAAACGCTCTGCTGGCCGAGTTGCCTTCACCATGGATCCCATCCGTGACCTGCTCATCTGGGCTGTGGTCCAGAACCGCAAGGAGCTGGCAGAAATCATCTGGGCCCAGGTATCACAGCTCAGAGTTGTTGGTGGTGGTCCCAGCTGAGAGGCTCAGATGGAACCAAACCAGCCAGCCCCGAAGGGAATGAAGGGTTGTACCTGCTAGGATTTGTGACAGCACACGAGCTGTCCCAAGCCTCACTCCAGCCAAACAGGAGCCACCTAGACAGCCTGAAGGCACTTGGTGTCCATCCCCAGCCACACCATGAGACCAGATCCCTCCTTTCCTGGCCAGAATGGAAAGAGGGGATAATGCTGGGCCAGAAGTGACCTCTTCCTTGCAAAGGTGGAGAGAGGACTCAGGACACCACAGGCAGGACATAGGGGCATAGCATCTAGGGTGGGGAAGGCTTCCACCCACTAACAGCATTCCTGGACAAGGGGCAGTGTGGCTGGTAGCATGGTGAGCACGCTGAGCTGTCACTCCATCCCACCATCCAAGATGTTCCACAAGGAGGGTGGGGTTGTCCCCATATTCCCTGTGGCAGTGGATTACCCAGAGGGGACTCCAGCTCAGCTTTGTAATGGCAAGCTGTCCATCCTGAGCACCAGTCTGCTTGGGATATCCTCCGAGCTGGGGAGGGCTTGACAGGGGTGCTGGGACCTGACAGTGCTCACACTGTCCTTGTCCTCTTCTGTCCCAGAGCCAGGACTGCATGGCGGCCGCACTGGCCTGCAGCAGAATCCTGAAGGAGCTGGCCAAGGAGGAGGATGACACAGACACCACTGATGACATGCTGGCCCTGGCTGAGCAGTTTGAGCACAAGGCAATCGGTGAGCAGTAGGGCACCAGCACCCCAGAACTGCTCCTGCACCCTGTGGAGCTGGCAAACTGTGCCCAGGAGGTGTCTGCAAGTGATGGGTAATGCCAAACAGGGGTCCCATCATCACAGCTGGGGTCATGGACCCCACCCCTTGGGTGCTAGTGGGAGTGCAGAGGGTACCACTGTGTGGTGCAATGTCCCAATCCCGCTGCAAAGGGTGACTCTGTGGGTCTCACCCTGGAGCTCAGCCTCATCTCCCTGGTACCCGTCTGTCCAGGTGTGTTCACAGACTGCTACCGCAAGGATGAAGTGAGAGCCCAGAAGCTTCTCACTCGTGTCTCTGAAGCCTGGGGGAAGACAACCTGTCTGCAGCTGGCCCTGGAGGCCAAGAACATGAATTTTGTGTCCCATAGGGGTGTCCAGGTGGGTCTCCAGCACCAGTGCTTGGAAGGCATGTGCCCAAGTGTCCCCAGGATCCAGGGTTCCTTGCAGGCAGCAGTGGGGCTCTGGCCTTCATCCCCTCTAACCAGCACTCCTCTTCCTCCCTCCTCACAGGCCTTTCTGACCAAGGTCTGGTGGGGGAAGCTGTGTGTGGACAACGGGCTTTGGCGGGTGATCGCGTGCATGCTGTTCTTCCCCCTGCTGTACACCAACCTCGTCACCTTCAGGTACTGCAGGCAGCCAGGGCACACATGCACTGAGGCAGAGATCTCCTCCAGCCTCACTCTGTGGCTGACTGGGGGATGCTGCTGTGGCATCTCCTTGGGCAGGTGAGCCCACATCCACCTCCTCTCCCAGCAGGGAGAAGAGGCTGCAGCCCATGGGCTGCCTGACGCGCCTCCGAGCCTTCTTCACGGCACCCGTTGTCATCTTCCTCATGAACATCCTCTCTTACTTCACCTTCCTCCTGCTCTTCGCATACATCCTGATGGTTGACTTCCAGCCAATGCCATCCTGGCAGGAATACCTCATCTACGTCTGGCTTTTCTCCCTGGTGTGCGAGGAGACCCGCCAGGTGAGGGGCTGGCAGAGTCGAGGCTGGGAGGTGGGAGAGGAGGAGTGACCCCTCTGGGTGCTGCTGGGGGGTCCCATGCAGCTCACGTTCCCACGCTGCTTCTCATGTCACCATCCATTCAGAGAGGTCCCAGCACACAGGACCCCCCATCTCTGGGGTTGGAGGATCAACTTGGCTGCATCTGGCCCAGCCCTGGGTTCTTGCAGAAGAACATGGTGTTTTGGGAATGTCACGAGTTGGAAGGGGCACCTCCTCCTTTAGATGAATTCCCAGCAGCATTTCCAGGCTTTGCTTGATGTTTGAGATTTTTCAGGTTTTGCTTCAACCTCTCAGTGCCTTTCTCCACCAGCCTAAAGAACCCCACGTGCCAGATGTCCCCATGCTCCTTCCCAGGTGTCCCCATGCTCCTTCCATGCCCCTAGAGAACACCCCATAGGCTCAGGTTACCTTTGGGACAGCAAAAAGGTCCAGTGATGGCCACATGATCCGTGTGCTCCCTCCCCTCTATGAGGCACAGGAGTATCTTACACCCAACCCCTCTTTTCCCAGCAGATGCTCTATGATCCAGATGGGCTCGGGGTCGTGAAAATGGCTTCCCTGTACATCAAGGACTTCTGGAATAAATTGGATATCTGTGCCATCCTAGTCTTTATCACAGGGCTGACTTGCAGGTGAGCTGCAGAGCTCGATAGCACTTTCCAGCCTAAATGCTGCTATGATTGGTGTTACTGAGGTATTTCCTTTCCTCTTGTCTGTGCCCAGGCTGATCCCATCAACATTATATCCAGGGCGCATCATCCTGTCCCTGGCTTTCATCATTTTCTGCCTGCGCCTGATGCACATTTTCACAGTCAGTAAAACGCTGGGGCCCAAGATCATAATTGTGAAGCGCATGGTGAGAGCTCCCTCCATCCTGCTGGGGTGAAGCTGGACCATCTTGCGAGAGCAGCAGGATGCCTGCACAGGGTGGATGTGCCACCCATGTTAACCTATCCTGGAGTGGAGTGTGATCTAGAACAAAATTTTTCTTCCCCTCTGTCTTTGCAGATGAAGGATGTCTTCTTCTTCCTCTTCCTGCTGGCAGTGTGGGTGGTATCCTTTGGGGTGGCCAAACAGGCTATCCTGATCCACAACGAGGAACGTGTGGAGTGGCTTTTCCGTGGTGTGGTCTACCACTCCTACCTGACCATCTTTGGGCAAATTCCCTCCTACATTGATGGTAAGGGACACCAGCCTGTGACAGCACACGGCATGAGCAGGGTGGCTGTGACAAGGCTGAGGGACCAAACTCATGCTGTGTTGGCCCATGAAAGTCCCACACAGGTGGCAGTGAGCAGAGCACCTGAGATAAGACAGATCCAGGTCAAATCCCTGCCCAGTGCTAAGCTCCCTGAATGCTGGCGACTTTCAGAGGTTTGGCCACCATGGAGTCACACTGTGCTCTCCCACAGGGGTCAACTTCAACATTGACCAGTGCAGCCCCAATGGGACTGACCCCCACAAGCCCAAGTGCCCAGAGACAAATGAGGACAACAAGGAACCGATCTTCCCGGAGTGGCTGACGGTCATCCTGCTGTGCCTGTACCTGCTCTTCACCAACATCCTCCTCCTCAACCTCCTCATTGCCATGTTCAAGTGAGTCTGGAGAGTTACAGATAGGATGGAGGCAGTGTGATCCCATCTGGGGGCTTGTAGATATAGTGGAAGTACTGGGATCCTGTTTTGGGGAGCTAGAGATAGGGCTCAAGTAGCAAGTGCAGGCCAGGGCTGATGAGGACCTGGATGAGAGCTGGGACCCCATTCAGACACAATGTGCCCCCTCATCCCCACTGCACGGCTGACACCTGGGCTCTGCCCCAGCTACACCTTCCAGCAGGTCCAGGAGCACACGGATCAGATCTGGAAGTTCCAGAGGCATGACCTGATCGAGGAGTACCACGGCCGCCCACCCGCGCCCCCACCCCTCATCCTCCTCAACCACCTGCAGCTCCTGGTCCAGCGTGGCCTGCTCCGCCAACCAGCCACACACCACAGGCTCAGTGAGGACCAGGGTCTCCCTTCTGCCCACTGCCCCCTCCTCAGGGCACATGGCTGTGCTGAGGCACAAGGCTGGGCACATGGGCTATGGTCCTGGGGTTTGGGATGCCCAGAGATCTGACTGTGCTGCTGTTCCTTCCCTCTGGCAGAGGAAAAGCTGGAGAAGAATGAAGAAGCTGCCCTCCTCTCGTGGGAGATGTACCTGAAGGAGAGCTACCTGCAGCACCAGCTGTGCCAGGAGAAGGAGAACACGGAGCAGATGATCCGAGACATTGCACAGAGGTAGTGCACTCCTGAGACAGGGACACCCTCTGTTCTCCAGTATTGTGGGCAGGGAAGAGTTGGATCAGTGCAGGGGTGGCTGTTGAGGGGGTTCCAGTCTGTACTGTCCCTCCAGGGTTGATGTACTGGCAGAGCTGCTGGACTTGGACCGGGTGAAGAGGACGGGGGTGGTGGAGCAGAGACTGGGGTCTCTGGAAGACCAGGTGAGCAAAAACAGAGCAACTACATGAGAAAGGTGAGATTTCCCAGGGGCTGAGTCAACTGAACCCAAGTTCAAAGACTCTTGGAATGAATCCCCCTTCAGACAGTTTGAGTTTCCTTGCCAGTAGCATTGCAGGGAGACAGTTTTGTGGGAAATGTTCTGTTTGACTCCAAAGTGAACAGGACACAGGTGGGAAGTGGTGGGATGAGTCAGTGTCTCCACGGGCTACCCAAACAGTTAGAGCTGACCCAGGTTTCCTTTTTGGCCTCTCCAGACCTTCTGGAGATGGAGACTCTCTGCCCCCTCCCTATGAACCTGTCACACCCTGCACAAGCAGTGAGGTACCCGGGGAGCTGGTTCAGCCCTGGCATCTCCTGCTTCCACTTCCATTTCCACCTGCATTGTAAAAATATTTCCCTGGAGATGGCTTCCCAAGGCAAACACAGACAGGATCATTGCTGTCTGCAGAGACCAGTAGTCAGTGCTGGGGACAGCGGTGCCTCCTGCCAGGCATGGATCCCAGAGTGCTCAGGGGCATCAGGGGCCTGGGGGATGACCCTCTCCTGTCTCACCTCAGGTACATCAGAGTGCCCAGGCCCTGAGGTGGATGATGCAGACGCTGCAGGGCAATGGCTTCAGCTCAGGCGAGGACGTGCCATCCATGGGTAAGCAGAGCTCAGCTCCACCAGTGACCCTCCACCAGTGGCCCCAAACCAGGGCTGAGATGCTCCTCACACCCCTCTGCCAGGCAGAGGTTCCTTTGGCCTTAGGAGGTTTGGTGGCTCCTGTGGCCATTCTCACCCTCCCTGGGGTTTCCTCCAGGACCTGCCAGAAGAGGTGCCAGGGTCCAGGTCCTCAGGGGCCATCAGCGTCTCCATGGAAAGACTCAGCCAGCCCCCTCAGCAGAGCCCTGGTCCTCAGCACTGGACTCAGCGCCCTGCTTTGTGGGACCTTGCTGTCTGTGTCTACCTCACAGGCTTCTCCAAAGCCTCAGATACCAAGGAGGTTGACCTGGAGGGGAAACCTGAGGAGATCCGGCCCCCATACCACGTGCTTGCCCGACACCTCCTGTACCCAGGGTCTCACACCCCCCGCTTCCCTGTGCCAGATGAGAAGGTGCCCTGGGAGGTAGGAGCTGTGACCTGTACAGTAGGGCTGGGAGGAGGGGGCATGGGGCAGATCCCAATGGCTGTGGGAAGAAGAACAGACCCATCATCCCACTTGGTAGCTCCTGTTCTTTCCAGCCCTGGGACAAGTGACTTCCCAGAGCAGCTGGTCCGAGGCTCTTCCAGAGAAAAGGGTATTGTTCCTGCTGGGATCTGCAGGCCTAGGGATGCTCAGTTGTAAGACAGAGGTTACAACCATCTGTCTCTGCATTTCCTAAAGTAGGGCTGGCTAAGGGTGAGGGAGAGGGTCCAGCACTGGCTTTCATAGGGCCATGTGCCCTCTGGCCAAGACCCTAAGCTGAGGCCCCAGCAGAAGGACCTGGGGAGTGATGCCACAAACTGGGCACAGGAAGACACTGGAGCATAAGGTGTCCTTAGGGGTCCCAGTCCATGTCTGCCACCAGAGCATGGATACAGTGGAGTCCTGTCACAGCCACATGCTCTGCAGGTGGACTTCCCTCTCTACAACCCTCCTGCCTACTCAGCTGACCACAAGGACATGGCTGTGCAGGATCCCTTCAGCCTGTGAGTGTTCCCCCATGGATCCCCACTCCTCCACCCCTTCCCTGAGTGGCACAGCCAGCCCTCCCTGCCGGGATGCCTCCCACTCCCCAGCTCCTTGGAGTCTCTCCTGAAGATCAACTACAACACCATGGATGGGCTGATCGACCGGCAGAGCTTCCACGGCCTCTATGCTGTGCAGGATGGGCTGCCACTGTAAGTGCCACCACCACGGGGCTCACTGGGGGCTGGGGTGCCCAGTGGGAGGCAAAGCACCAGGAGATGGAGAGTCCAGGGATGCCTGGGCTCATCCATCCCATTTCTGCTTCCCTACGGCTAATGGTGGGGCAGGGATAATGGCATGAATTGTCCTCAGGGATGACACTCCAAAAAAACACCTCAGCACCCCAAAAGAGGTGGGGTGCAGTGGTATAGGGGTGCACTGTCCCAGCCCCCTCACTCTCCCCCTGCCAGGAACCCCATGGGCAGGACAGGACTGCGAGGCCGCGGGAGGCTGCACTGCTTCGGGCCCAACCATGCCCTGCACCCCATCGTGACCCGGTGAGTGACACAGAGGGGTCCTGCTCCAGCAGGGAGCTGGGGATGTGGGATGGAAAAAGAGGTATGGAGCCACTTTAGAGAGTCTGGGACCTGGTCAAAACCACCACTGGGCAGTGGGGTGCAGAGTCCAGCTGCAGCATCAGAGGAACCTCTCTTGCAGCTGGAGGAGGAACTTGGATGGATCCATTATAAGGAAGAGCCTGAAGAAGATGCTGGAAGTCCTGGTAGCCCAGTACCCACTGTCAGATGTCTGGGCTCTGCCTGGGGTAAGAGCTGGGGGAAACCAGCTGCTGCAGAAGGGCTAGGGAGATAAGAGCAGTGAAGAGAGGCAGGGAGGGATGTGGTAATCACAGGCACATGTTGCAGCCTTGGCTGAGGAGGTCTCTCTGCCCCTCTGCATGCCAAGAGTGCTGTGTGAACGCTGGTCCCATCACATACACCACCCACCTTGACCCTCTGTCTCCCTCTTCTCCCTCCTCCTTGCCTTCAGTTCTCACATCCATCATGTGGGCATGTTAAGCCATTGGCAAAGCATCCTTTGGCAAAGAGGTCCAGGGGTTAGATCAGGCAAACTCAGACATCTGCTTGGGCAGAGCTGAAAGGGAAGGAGGAAGGGAGGGGCACCACCTTCTGCAGTGGTGACACTGCCCAATGGCCAAGCTGGTGGCAGGGAGGGAGGCTGTGCTGGGCCAATAGCAGGTCCCACAGCTGACACCTGCTTTGGCACAGGGGTCACTGGAGCCAGGTGAGACGCTGCCGCTGAAGCTCAAGTGGATCCTGCGCCGGGAGTTCTGGCCCCAGTTCCAGAACTTGCTGAAACAAGGCACTGAGGTGGGGGCACACAAGTTTCCCAGCACTATGGGCACATTCAGCCATTGCCTTGGTACAGGGGCACATGAGTGTCACAGGGACATGCAGGCATCACCCCAGTACAGGAGCACATGGGTATTATGGTGGTACAGGCACACAGGAACATCACCACAGTGCAGGGACAAGGCCACGTGGGTGTCCCAGGGTACCAGAGCAGGGTGTGTCACTCCTTGGCTACTGCTCCCAGTGGAGCAGAATGGCTGGGGGAGCTGGAGACATGTTGTAATGCATGTGTTGGGGTCGGGGAGCAGCCCAGAGCCCCCAGGGTGGGCTGCCCACACCAGGGTCACTCTCCATGGCTCCAGCTGCAGCAGGGATGGTGTGCTGGTCTCCAGCAGGGCAGGGGTGCTGCAGGTGATGCTCCACCACCCCCAGGGCTTCTTGGTGCCCTCAGAGGGATGGTGAAGGCTCCACTGATGTGGCCACTCCTCCACTGTGCACAGGTACACAAGGGGTACCTCGATGACCCTCGGAACACGGACAATGCCTGGGTGGAGACAGTGGCCATCAGTGTGCACTTTGACAACCAGAACGACGTGGAGATGAAGAGGCTGAATTCGGTACAGGGCTGTTAACCCTGTGGCTCTCTGACCCGGCTCTCAGTGGCCCTGGGGCAGGGGAGCCACGTCTCCAGACCCATATCTCATCAGGAATAGGCTTCTCTGGCTGCATGCAGTGGGGGGAGAACACGGGGATGAACATGGAGTGGTACCACAGTGTGTGCCCCAAAAGGAAAGAGCAGGAGGATGGGGACTAGAGGTGTTGCTGAGCGTGGCTGGCACAGCCCCAAACCAGCAGCATGTGCATGATATCTCTGTTCCCTTCCAGTTTCTTCAAGGCTGCGACCCAGAACTGTGCATCCGCTGGCAGGTGCTGGACAAGAGGATCCCCCTGCACACCAACCACAAGTTGCTCCTGCACAAGGTCTCGACCCTCCTCGGCGCCTACTACTGAGGACTCAAGCACAGCCAGGGCTCCTGCTGTCCCAAATCAGGTGCTGGCTGGGACCTGCAGCTCCACCCCAGCTCACCTGAGAGACCATGGGAGCTGCTGGAGATGAGGTATTTTGGTGCCTCTGTGAATGTACATTGCAGGTCTCTGGGAGGAAAAGTGTTCCCTCCCTGGGGGCAGGGGTCTGCCTGGGCAGTGCATCCCAGTCACCCAAGCCATCAAGCTCAACCCCAGCTTATGTCTTGGTGCTTCCACATCAGCCCACAGCTAACTAGCCTGGGGCTTGAGCCACGCAGAGGCACAGGGCTATCCATGTGAGGTGATCCTTCCCTTAGCTCAAACCTGCTCTTGGCTTCGGGGTGGCCACCGGGGCTCTCCAGCCCCAGCTACCTCTCCACCAGCATATCCATTGCTGCTTCCTGCTCCTGCTCTGAGCCCTGGCAGCCCCACTGCCACAGATCCCAAAGGACTGCTCTGGGGAAGGATGGGCTCTTTGCACTTAAATGCCCTGACTGCCCTGCAAGTCAACTCCTGTGGCAGCTGTTCCCAAATCTCCGGTTGCCTCAGGCCCAACAACATAGTCCTGAGCTGCGATCCAGCACTTCTGAAGGTGTGAGCAGCTCTTGGCTCCAATATCTATGGTTTCATAGCTGCACACAGGCCCACCTGCCATGCCCCATATGGATAATCCATCCTGCATGTATCCATGCTGAGCACTGGCTTGAAGCTGAACTCCTTCCCTCTGTCCAAGCTAAGGCACCAGCTAAATGTCACCTGCCTCTCCCCATCCCCTTGTGCACATGGGTGGAAAGGGACAGCTTGCTGGGACACAGGTGATCCCTGCTCTGAGGTCCTTTGGTCAGGTAGGGACAGCAGAGGGGACAGCAGTGTGTCCATCCCAGACATGCCTACTTTTAAGGGGTCTTTCACTCACATTTTCTGTTGCCTGCCATGGGGAGAACAAGGCACAGTGGAGACATTTCCCAGTCACCCAGAACAGCCCCACAATGACATGTTATGCCTGGGACTGCTCAGGGAGCGATTCCAGTTCCCCCATCCTCTCCCAATGGATCAGGCACTGGCCAGCCAAGGCTGCTCATCCCACACTGGTGGCCACCACAGCACAACTGCAGCTTCACCTGTGATGCACTGGGGCTTGGTGAGGGGAGGGGGCTCAGACTGGCAATGTATTCAACCCAGCTCAATAAACTATAACTACAGCCTGGTGGTGTCTTATGGCTGTTTAACCAGGGGCCATTCCAGAAGGCCATGCTTGGTGCATGCTTCCAGGATGGGCCCAGACCTTGTTACACAGACTCACTTTGCCTGCAGACTCACCCCCAATGACAGCTGAATCATAGCAGAACAGAGTGGTTCGGGTTGGAAAGGACCTTAAGGATCACCTTGTTCTCGCCACCTGCCATGGGCAGGGACACCTTCAACTAGACCAGGTCGCTCAGCCCCATCCAGCCTGGCCTTGAACACGTCAAGGGATGTCTGTTGATCCCTGGAAGGGTTTGCAGCAGATATGCCCTGATGTCTGCTCCTGGTCTCCCTTTGCCAAGAGAGAAACAGGAGACCATCCTCCAAGAGCCCAT